TGAATCTTAATCTTTACAACACCTACACTCACTCACACCCATACACTCTCAAGATGTCAACGGTCATAACGATAGTCTAATTTTAAAAAAAGTAGACTTTACTAATTAGTATCCATTTCCAGCTCGAATACAACGTTATCTCATGACTGTTTAAATTTTAACGAATTGTAGTGCTCAATATCTATCTCTCTAATACAGAATTGCAATTTAAAATGAAATTAATATGTAAATCATCCATCAAATCATTAGTTAAAACAACGAAAGATTTTTGCTTCAACTTGAACTGACATAATGGATTTGGAAATCAACTAAAATCTAAATCTGGTATCTAATATCAATTAGTCAAGAATTCCACTCTATTGCAAGGTTGTCATTAAAATGAGGTTGACCTGATTCAATTATGTTATCCATTACTTTAAAAAGACATTATTTGACCATTCAATTTTGCAAATTTTTATAGTTGTATTAAAATATGGCGCTAGAGTGAATTACTTTATTAAGATTTAATCCGATTCTGTATTATTATTATTCATACTGATTTCGTTTACGGCTTAATTTCACATATAAATTGATCTTAAATCTCTCCTCATAAACAATATCTGATTTTATATGATTTTGCTTTGCTGTTCATTATCTGCAATTTATACAATATAATTTGATTTTGTACTGTGATGACTTTTTCCATTATATAAAGATGTGACTTCAAAGTGTTACAATATGTTATCACTTGTATGCTTTTAACATGTTTATATAGCCAAGCTGATCAAAGAAAATCATTCAATTCAAATTATTTCCTTTTAAAGACTAACCGTCTTTCATTGTGATTTTTTGTTGTTCTGCTTTCGCTTCCACTTTTCATTTTTACTTTTATCTATGCTTACAATTTTTAATACAGAGTCCTGAGGAATATTTCAATATGCTAATAAACAACACGAAACTCGTCCACGAAATGAACTTCCCATTTTTCTTTATTGATTATTTTATTTAGCACATTCATTATTCAATTATTTCTAACAAATTGAATTTGTCTTTTCGTCAAGAAATAGGTCGACCTGTTTTCAATTGATTTACCCACACCCACACCTTTGTGAGAAGCAATCAAACTTATCACTGTCCAGTGTAGTAATACTACCATGGCACACCCTAAGTATGGTCGAACATTTGTTGTTGTGCATTTTTATCTTGACATTTGCTTTGCAGCGTTGTCGATATTATCAACCGATGCACTTTTGTTTCAGTTCTTTTTTTCTACTGTTGCTTTTATCGTCTATGGAGTTGCAATGCATTCTACATTATCTGTTGTTAGTTTTTCGTTGAGTCATATTTCATCTTACATAGTTGAAGCATTCGCGTCCGTTAGCAAACTTCTTCAACATGGATACTCTACACACTTTAGAATCGATCCAAAGCGATACCAAAGAACCATTTGATCCTTTCTTGACCTGGCGCGTGGCTACTTTGTCCGATTGTCAATCAATATCGACGTTAGTGAATAGCGGCTATCGTGGTGAAACATCTCGTCAAGGTTGGACCACTGAAGAAGCATTAGTTGGTGGCAATAGAACAGATCCAGATTTACTTGCCGACATAATTCAGAGTAAAAACAATATAATATTGTTATTTTTTGGTGAAAGTGATAACATTCTAATTGGATGTGTTTATCTTCGATATGAATCAGAACTAAGACGAGTTTGGTTGGGTATGTTCACCGTCAGACCAGATCGACAAGGGCGAGGCTATGGGAAACGAATCTTATCGACGGCAGAAACCTATGTTCAGGATACGTGGCACGCTGAATTCATGGATATGAGAGTGATTGTGCAAAGGACCATATTGATTGAATTTTACAACCGCCGCGGTTATGTTGATACAAATCAACGTCAACCATTTCCAGCGGACGATGCCCGACATGGAATTGCCAAAAGAAAGGATCTAGAAATGTGTGTTTTGAGAAAATGTTTGAAACTATCCGAAAAAACAGATTTGAATACATAAGTCGCCTAGATTGATTCACTATTTATCGAACGCTTCTATGTAGGTCTCTATGAGAATTTATTGGTTGTAGCAATGCTCGGATGTTCCTGAAGGTATCATAGTTCCATAGAAAAGATTCTTTCAACAAGCGGAAATATGGTCTAGTTGATGCTTGAAAAGAGATGACAAAAAATTTTTTGCTCTCACAATACAATGAGGGTAGGTTTAGGATGTGGGTGTTAATTAAAAGAAAGTAGACACACACACACCCATTCAATTCGTCTAAGCTCTACATTCTGTACAAAAATGTTTTCTGATCATGATTAACGATTATTAAAGTTAACTCTGGTTTTCAATGAAACAAGATCAAGAGGGAACAAGCACGTCTTCATTACTGTAGTTACTTCATGATCTTGTAGGGTCAGCAGTGGCATCTTACATTTTCTTTACTAATTAGTAATTATTATATTTACTCATTTACTACTAAAGTACAGGTAAAGTACCAGCTTAATGCGGATCAAAACCTGGTTTCAGGATGTGAGTGTGTCGACCTGAAGAAATTCTCCAAAATCTAATTTAGTTTTTTCTAGTATTTAACTTAAAGACAATTTAACACAACGTGTATACTGTACCAACAATTGTATAAGTAGTTTGTGTCTTAATAAGATTTATGATAGCGAGACGAGAAGAATGAAAAATATTGATGAAAAGAAAAATAGATTAATGTGGAAATGATTTGTAATTTATTTTTTTCTTTCATATGAGCAAAAAACTCAACGAAATTTTACTATCGTATTCGAATTGCAGCTCAAAAAAAAATGTCTACCAATCTGTCCGTTTAACAACTTCCTATCATATAGTCACAACCCCTAGAAAATGTCGAGTTTTTCACAATATAGAGTTCTATAAAAATTTTATAACTTTTCAATCAATTATTGTATAAGATTGAGCAGCATTTGATGTTTTAAGGAACTGTTCATTCTATAATTTAGTGTAAGAGCTACATATATTCTCTTGAATCTATCGGAATTATACGCTATGCTCGAAAACTTGGTTTTTTTTGAAAAAATGCTTGTCTCAGTACTATCTAAAAAAATTTCTATTGTTATCAAACGAAACATACTTAACAATTTCTCAAGAAAGATTCGAAAAGATTGCTTCATACAGATTTTACAAAACAGGTTCCAGTTGTCAAAAGCATTTTGTTCCTAGAGAGTAATATGTGCTTTTATCTTATGACAAGACTCGCTGCATAGAGATTATAAATGAACTGAAACAGAATAAATGACATTGTGTTGTTAGATTTTCAACTTTTTCATCTGACAACCTTGCTCATATATTTCTTTCATTAAATCAAAAACAAAACATAAAAATTTTTTCTTTTTCATTATCAATATGTATTTTGTGTTGTCTTTTAATATATTATTTAAAACAAACTTCACTGTGGTACAATTTGTTAGTATAAACAGAACTCATTGTATCTATGCAGATGTCACTGTAGAATGATTTTTGCAAATAAATAAATGTATAGAGAAAAGAAAGAATAGTGCAAAGACACACAGACAGCGTAGTTTTATTTTTTCACTTTTATGATTGGTTTATATGACTGACTAATTGCTTCTTATTTATCTTTTCGATAGTGTTTATAACAGAAAAAAAAACAAAACAAAACAAAACATAGTAATGGAAGTTTCTTCGGAACCACAAAATTTAAATCCAACAATATATGAACGTAGTGAAGAACGAATTGTACAAGAATCAGATTATGATAATGATGTTCGAGATGAAATTGATCGTCGTGAAATATTTGATTTGATTCGATCAATTAATGATCCTGAACATCCATTAACATTAGAAGGTTTTTAAGAAAAATTTTGTGTTCTTTTTTTGTTTACTAAACTAAAATATATATAATTTATTTTAGAACTTCACGTTGTTGATTTAGATGGAATTACAATTGATAATCAAGCTAATACAGTACAAGTACAATTTCGACCTACTATTCCACATTGTTCTATGTAAGCAATTCATACATAAATTTGAAAAGAATATGTAAAAAAAAAGAAGATTTATTAATAAGATAGACCTATATTCAATCTTATCTATATTAATTATGTTTAAATTTTAGGGCAACATTAATTGGTTTGAGTATTCGAGCAAAATTACTTTATACACTTCCAACACGTTATAAAGTTGGTGTTAATATATATGAAGGTGCTCATATACAAGAAAGTCAAATTAATAAACAATTAAATGATAAAGAACGTGTTACTGCTGCACTTGAAAATAAACATCTTTGTGCTGTTGTTAATCGATGTATTACTACATCTGAAAGTTGAATAAACATCGTTGTTTTGTTTTTTATTTTGATGATTATTAAAACAAAACAAAAAAAAAAAAAGATTCCGAATGATAATTGAATATTTTTTGTTTCAGATTAATTAAATTTTAAAAAGAAAAGAATGGCAACAGCTGTACCAAAAAATGTTTCACCATTAATACGTGCTGGTCGTTGGAGTTTATTATTAGCTGGTCTTGTTTATGGACGTATACATCATAATACAGTAAAAAAACGTGAAGAACATGTACGACAAAAAGAAATTGATCGTGTTACACATCATGCTATTAATGAAGTTGGTGAGCAAAAAATAAAAGCTGATCAATCAATGATTGATTTAGCTTATGCAGCTGGTGTTGATCCAAATCAAGCACAAGTGAAAAAAGCAGAACATGAAGCAAAACATCCTTAGAAACTTTAGATTCTTTTCTTTTACAATATAGTTATATTGTCGTCTTTAGTTTCATAGAAGAAGAAAAAAAATCCCATGTCCTTCTCTCATTTGTTTCTTTTTTTTTCCATTTTCAATACTTCTCTGTTTTTCTTATTCATATCTCTTTCTTTAACATTTGGATGAACATAAAATAGACGATGATCATAATTTGTTTTGTTTTATTTTTATTTCGTAAACAAATCAACTAGTTTAGAATCAAATAGTAAAGATTTTTTTTTTTTAAATAGATTAAATTTAAGTAGATTTTAGTTCATTTGTATGATCATAGAATACATCATCAGATTCATGAAAATTGATTGTATCTGAAATTTTTGTTTTAATTTCATTTGTTTCTTCTTTAATAGGTAGAAATGTTGTTGCATTTGGAATTATTGTCATACCATCAAAATGTTTTATTGATCGTACAGGTGATTTTATCATAGGTGTATTTCCATAAACAGATGATCCACGACGAAATACTAAATCTTGTGGTTGACTTTGTATTGAACTAAAACGTGTTCGAGTTGTTTCTATTTCTATATATTTTTTAGCTGTATATTCACGATCGAGATATTCCATTTCTCGTCGTCGTTTATAAGGAACAAATATAAGCCAAATTATGAGTAATATATGAATAATAATATATATACTAAATAAGCATATAAATACATATCGATCAATATTAACATACGTATTGGTTGGTATAATATTACGTGATAATGATGCTGGTGGTGGATTAAGAAAAATTAATGTTGCTATAACAGAATGCCATACACAAAGTAGAACTAATATAATAATAGATATGATTGCATATTTATCTAGTGTCGTTAGATAAGATATTGTTGGCTAGAAATTAAAAAAACAGAAATTGAGATGTTTTTCTTTTAGAGTTAAAAATTTTTTGTTTGTTTCTTTTTTTCTTTTACCAGTGATCGATTTACTACCCAACGAAATGTAACTGATGTAAGAAGAAGAGTACATGTTATTTGAAGACGACTTTGTGGTAAACTAAAATATATAGAAATGTTGGAGTTTGAAGAAAAGCTTATATAGAAATGTGTTGAGAATAGTTTACTCAGGTGGTATTGAAAAAATACAAAATGAACAAACAGTAATAAGAAAAATAAGACAAAATCCATTCCAATAATAATAACCAGGGCGACGTGCTTTAAAAAGAAAAGAATTTTGTTAGATTAATATCTAGAAAATAAGATACAAACCTGCGCGACAAGTAAATGCTAGAACAGAATGTTTCTTTTGATCTATTCCATTATTATCATTCTCAAATGAATATTCTTCTGTTGTTTGTCTTGATTCAGTTGCAACATGTTCATATAATTTCCATTCTTGTTGATCGAAAAAAGCTTCACGATTTATACTCGAACGTAATTGTTCATCAGGAACAAGTAAACAATTTTCAATATGATGCATAGTTGATATTGAAACTGTTAAATCTTGAACATCAGCTGGAAACTAAATTAAGCAAAAAAAAAATTCTTTTTGCTGTTAAGTTTAAATATCCTTCATTATATAAAATAAAAAAAAAAGAACGATAAATACATGATTTAATTCTAATTTTTCCCAAAAAACTCCTCTTATACGTCGATGTTCACATATTTCAAGTCGAATAAGTGATGGTGATGTAGGTTCAATATTTCCTGTAACACTTTTCTTTATTGTAAACCATGTATCTTGTTTACCAATTTGTCCTATTTCATTTTCAATAAATAAATGTGGTGTCCAATAAATTTTTGGATTAAGCTCATTTAATCGTATAGAAATATTTTCATCTAATAATTGTGATCGTTGTTGTGTATCTAAATCTAATAATTTAATATTCAATATTTCAAACCATCTTGCTTCATAATAAATATCTGCTTGATATTTTTCATTAAGTGTATCGATTTCGCCTAGAATTTATTTAAATAAAAACAAAAAAATATGAGATTTTTGTTTTTTTCATTTTTCATACCAATATGAATAAAAATTAAACGAATTCGTATCATACGAATATTAGTTTTGTCTTGAGGAAGTTTAATCATTGGAATAGGTACAACATGTGATAAAGATTTATGACGAGAATATAGACGTTTAGAATAATTATTTCCTATATCATTATTTTCATTTGAATGTTGAGTCTTTTTTGAACGAAAAATTCGATGCATATTATTCACAATTAAAAATCTTATCATATATCACAACAAGTTTATGTCAAGTTTTAATCAGAATAAAGAAAAATAAAACGATAATATATATATATCATCGATCTGCCTACTCAAACAGAATAAATTTCATAGTAAATACAGATGAAATCACTTTGGTTTCTAAGTAAAATCGAAATTTAATCTCTGAAAGTCATATTCATTGGATATCGGATATGTTAGATGATGAATAAAACATTTACCTATATGAAACGAACTGATTAATACTATGTAGATGAAAGAAAATAATCCTTATGTTTAGTTCATTTAAAGGTCAAACAAAACAACATGCATATTGTTCTGCTAAATGATGTATCGATAAAAGTATTCTCACCTGTATCTTCTTATTGGTACTGTCTTTCATTTTCTTATTCTCGTCCAGAAATTAAAATCTATAGATTTTGTTTTTTTTTTTTTATCTTTGTATATATACATACAAACATATGTGCAAAAAATGTGAATGATTTATTTTTAGATATGAATATCTTAGGCAAACTTCTTCCAACAACTATTGATTTTATAGCATATCGTTCATTTAGGTAAACAAAAAAAAAAAAAATTGATCTTAAAAAAAAAAAAAATTAATCATTTTTTCTAGTATGACGATACCATTATATGATCTACAAAAAGTTAGTCGTGTACATGTAGTTGATAATAGTAAATTAGCTTTAGATGGAAATGTTTATAAACGTATGCCACGTATTATACATTGTTATAAAAAAAATAATAATTTAACACGTACAAGATTAACAGCTGGTCTTGGTGATAAAGTATTATTAGCAATTAAAGGACAAATGAAAAAAGCAATTATTGTTGGTTGTAGACAACGTATACGAAAACCAAATATACCACAATTTGATTCAAATAATGTTGTATTAATTGATGATGATGGAAATCCAATTGGTACACGTATACTTGCACCTATACCCGCATTTTTTCGTACACGAGGTGATTTAGCTAAAATTGCTGCTATTGCTACGACTTTTGTTTAATAGAATAAATAAAAGAAAAACTTTAGAAATAAATAAAATTTGTTTAATATTTAAAAAAAAATATATATATTTTATTATTTTTTTGTTTTCTAACAAGATTTATTTATTTATGTCAATAGAAAAATCTATTAAGATATCACAGGTGTATATGTTTAGAATGATGAGAAATGTCATGTTTATTTGAAAGATTAAGAGATTTTAATCAATTTTTATTAATAGTTCAAATACTTTTCGAAAATGTTATGTGTCTTTAGATTGAAGATTTAAACATCAACAATTATATTCAATTTTTTCTAAAAAAAAGAAAAAAGTAATGCTATTGAACAGTCAAAACAAATTTATATTTTATTATTCTCAAATGAAAATTAAAAAAAAAATTACAAACAGCATAATACATGTTCTATAGATTGCGATGCAATAATGGATAATAAGTCTAGTCGATGAAGGATTTGTTCCTTTTTTTTATGAAGAAATGCATATATCTTTCATTCGTTGTTCTTATGCATACATTTTAATTCAAGCAGATATCGTTTTTCTTCTATAAAAATAAATAACTGAAGTATTTCTATTAAAAGAAAAGAAATATCTTTCTCGTAAGTAGAATTAGAAAAAAAAATAATAATAAATTTTACTTATTCATTTAAATCTTTTAGAGTTTTGTTTGTGAAGACAGATATGAATAAGAAATTTTGTAAATATATATTTTTTTCTTATGTTATAAAATCAATTTAAGCGATAAATTTCGTGAAAAATTCATCATTTGTGTTAGAAATAGAACCAAATTTTTGTTTTGAGAAATTTCGTTTTTCTGCTCTCAAATCTTGTTAAGGTCAAATTTTGTACTTGAAAGACAATCATTTTATAAATATATACGTATCAAGTAACTAGGTATATTTATCTTTGATATTTCGAAAGCAAAGACAACTATTATATTACACATGAAACCATCAAAATTGGTAATAGCCATATGTTCATAACAAAATTGAAAAGTATTGTAATAAAGGGCAAATCGCGGTAAAGTCATGTTTTTTTTTATTTTCCAATATTTTTAAAGAAAAAAATTATATGATTAGAAACAACATTAAATTCTGAACTATTTTTTTTTTACTCAAGTTAAAAGAGTTTATTCGAAAAAAGTTTTTGGACTAAGATCCTCTATGAAACCTTCAAAAACAAATTTTTTTCTCGTCAAAATTTCGATGATCTATGGGTTATAGACATTGTTGATCGTGAATTTCATATTCCGTTTTGCTTTAAAATGCTAGAGGATGTTAGAAACAAATCAGTTTTTAAGATACATTACTGTTGACTATTTTTAGTTTTGAATCGAATTGAACACTAAAAATTTTTTTTCACGAACTAAGTTACTTGGTCTACTAAACAGTTAAAGTAAATTTTGTTGACAAAAGATATTAAATAAAAAGAAATAAGATCACACGTATCTTATATTATTAATCTTTTTATGTATGCTCATGAGAATATACACATATGAAATGTGTAAAATTTTCTGGTTCACACTTCCTGCAAGCTTCTGAGATTATTATTGTCAAATTTAGTGTTAAAAATTGAGTAAAGGCAACATGCTAAATAGATTTTAAACTCGAAAACTTTTTGATAGTGACACTTCGAATTGTGCACATTAAGATGTCTTTAGGTCATTTTTGTATACCTATTTAGCTTTTTGATTAACTGAGGAAGTCAAGGATTATATCTCGTTTAATCAATTTTAACATTAGTTGCAGTCATATTTATTTGAGTTTTACAAATTGTTTAGTTGCTATTCAACACTTTTCGAATTTGATCTGACTTTTTTGTCCAATAAAAAAAAGTTTTTTAGTGCAGCACTAAAGGGACTGAAATGTGAAACTCACATATATTCTTCAGCTTCATTATATTAATATGAAATATAGATAGTATAAGATCATGAATTTTTTAATTTTCTGACAGGCGTTCTTATTTTTCGTTTTATGTGTTGCTATTCGCTCAGTATTTTGCATTTTTAACACTTCTTTTTTTTTTTTTAATTTTACATGTTTATTATAAGAACCATTGAATTATATAGCGAATGAAACTGTTATATGTATATCCATTATTTTAAACCTGGTTGCTAAGGTCTGTAATGCGGCCTGTGTGTAAGAGGAGGTAGAGGAAGCCGCGAAACCTTGACCTTAAAACTTACACTCACTATTTTCTTCGAAAATATACGTGAGTTCCGCAAAATACAGCTGAGGAATCAGCATAAAAAGCTCAGTAAAATGAAGTATTTTTTGAGTTAATTTAACAATTTTCATTTTTTCTGGCTGAAGCCAGACGACTACAATTTATATATTAACGTGAAAAATAAGAATTATCAAATTAATTCGAAAAAAAACATTATTTTATTTAATTGTTTTGTATCGATTTTGAATCTTTATTTTTTTTTCGAATAAAAGTTTAATTGAATGCAAATCTCATTGAATACTGACTAAAAAAGATTATACCAATCAAGTAAATAAGATTTTTCAGCAAGAGAACAAAACAAATAGAAAAATAATATGACTAATGTTATGATAGATCGAACAAGATAAAGTACTTGGCATCCTCTCTCAATCAAAAAATTAGCTAGGCTTACAAAAATAATATATAGATATCACAATGAGAACAAATCGAAAGAAATATTATTTTCTAAGAAAAACGCGATACCTTCTTAGTTTATTGTAATCACCAACCCACACTCTATCAAGTCGTGTATAAAAGAGACGAAAAAGGAATTATGCTTAAAGTTTAAATGAAAAATAAGGTAATGAGCTGAAGTTAGAAAGGTTTATTATACATATAATGGATACGTTTAAGAAAAAAAAACAAGGTTATCAGTCCAATCTCTATGAGATCAAAATGTAAATTACGATATAACTGTTGTTGGTAAGCATAGGAAGATTGTTTTTATTCTATGTATTTTAGAATACATTTTCAATAATTCGTTTACTTAACCTTTCAGAAATGCAAAAATCTAACTATTTCATATGTCATAAAGAGATATTATTGATGTACAATGTACGGATTTCTCATCAGAAGCATAAACTGGTACTTTAACGATTTCCATCACCATTGCTATTTCTAAACTAAATTAGATATAATATTTTTCATGCATTTCTTTTTTGCCTAATGTATCAATACTAATACATATTTTTTATTTTCCAAATGACAACTGCATATATTCTGAACGAACTAAGGAAAAACTTGTCGAGAAAAGAATATTTGAAAAATATCTTAGAGTAGAGAAAAAGAAAGGAAAGAAGCAAAGCATATATATATGTGTTCTATTCTATGTAATTTGTTCGATTCATGAAGTCATCATTCATTAACGTGAAGAACCATTCTTTTATTTATAGTAAAATGTTTTCACAAAAAAATGACTACTGATGTGAATTTTTTACTAAATACTTAAATTTTTAATATTGAATCAATTATTAACAATACTGAACAAGTAATTATGTAACTGAGCAAACGTAATAGTTAGTTTATTTAGTGATACTTTGTATAATAATACTGAACATTGAATTCACCGCTAAGATATTCATCATTATTTTATATTTTCTTTTTATATTTACCAAATATGTGTCTTCATTCTCTAATATGCATTATTCACTCTTGTACAATATACGTCAATCTTTTTTTTCTTCTTTTTCTCTCTCTCCTCTTTACTGCTTTACCTTCTCCTTTGAAAGTTCTAATAAATGCTCAACCTTTGATACTGTTCTCAATTTCAATGGATTTAAAAGAAGATGCTTGATGTCATCTTCATTATTATGTAGTCTAATCCAAGCAGGACAATAAAATATACTATTCTCCCTTTCTTTATCTTCTGTCTTTGCGTTTCTATAGTATGTGTTGAAGATGTATAAGTAACTGAAAATTTAATAAAAAAAATAGGAGTCGAAGTTAAATTTGAAACGGTTGATCAACTAGGAAAAAATTTTCACATTGTGATAAGTCTCTTTATTACAGATTAAAAACTTTGTAACACTCTCATACTCAATATGCATCATAACCGCGTACGAAATATGTCATGCTCATCCAATACTATTTACAAAAGTTATTTTTTCTTCTACTGTTTCTTTTATGTCTGTATCACGACTCCTATTTTTCTTTTCTGTCACAGCTTACAATAAATAAAAATAAAGGTATACTGCTTCTTACGTCTTACAAACCATTGCTAGTCTTACTTCACATAAAAGAAAACATTATTGAATAACAAAACATGTGCGTAAGAGATACATTTATCGATGTGCGCAATATACTAATCGTTATTTGATGAATTATTTATAGCTTCAGGATATAATACAAGAACAAAGGCGTATGATAGTTACATTACATCCATATCACATATTCTACGATTGCTGTCAACGATCTTGTCGCGATAAAAACATACAAAAATGAAACTGTTCATTATCCTCAGTCTTGTCGTTGGCATAACTGGTCGAAGAACAAGCAGTACTAAGATAATGTCATGTCCACTTCTTCCATGTTACTATTGCCTACCATACGGTAACATCGATTTCGGCACGACTCCACCTTGTCATCAGTGTGAATGTAATCCTTGTCAATATGGACAACCTCTGCTGAATATCACTTGTGGGCAAGGCACCGGCCAATGTGTGGCAGCTGACGGCCTATGTAAGATGAATTCAGCGGACAGAATCTATTGTTGTCCGAACGAAAGGCCAGGCTGTTGTCCATCAGAAACATCACAGGGAGGGAATTGCACTGAGATTTGTACAAATGATTACAGCTGTGACGTGGGACAAAAATGTTGTGGTAGCTGCCATAAAATCTGCCAAAATGTCACGCTTACATGAACAAAAGTGATAAATACGTTCAGTTTTCTATCCCTTGTAAAAATGCTCTCTTATCTCATTCTTTCAATCGTCTAGTACTTCATCATTATACATTTTTTTTCTATGCTACTAATCTATCAAATTCATCATATTATTAACCAAAGAATAAAGCACGCACGAAAA